AGCGAATTTAATCGATAAATCACAGTTGCTAAAAATACAAATTGATTTCTTTAATATTTTTTCACAAACACCGATTCATATCTTTTACATATAAATATTTTTACTTGTCGTTTAAAAATAAATAAATTTTTTTAAATGAAACCGTTAAAAGATAAGATAAAATGTTGCAATCCACTGAATAAAGTGAATCATAAAAATTTTAAAAAAAATTTAAGATCAGTTCTTCCATGGATGCTTAATATAAATAATCATTTATATCTTCAACAAAAAATATGTAATTCGTGCCGATACCAGTTAAGTAAAATTGGTCCACACATTCCCGAAGAATTTATATCCCCAATAACCCATAATCAGGATGCCTTTGAATCGATTAATGAAACATTACACAATATTGGAGAATCACCAATTAAAAGAAAACGTTTAATGGAGAAAAAATATCCTAAAAATAAAATTCAAAAGATTGAAAAAGCAATAAAGATTAAGGTTTTAGAAATATCTGATTCCGAGATTGATAGTCCAATGAAAGAGGAAATTCTTATTATATTAAAGGATAACTTTGATAAATTATCAAAAAATCAACAATCTCAAATTCTTACAATTTTGCCTCAAAGATGGAGTGTAAATAAAATTCAAAAGGAATTCAACGTAACATCATACATGGCAAGAAAATCTAAAATGATGGTAAAAGAAAGTGGAATTCTTTCATTTCCAAAACATAAGGCAGGAAAGACACTAAACGAAAAAACATTTAAACTCGTCAAGGATTTTTATAGTTCTGATGAAATAAGCCGACTCATGCCAGGAATAAAAGATTGTGTATCTGTTAAAGGCGAGAAAGAACCAGTTCAAAAAAGACTTATATTAAATAATCTTAAAGAAATATTCAAGATGTTTAAGGAAGAATACCCAAATATATCAATAGGATTCTCTAAATTTGCCGAACTTAGACCAAAAAACTGTATTTAGTTGGAGCTAGTGGCACACACACTGTTTGTGTCTGCGCTATTCATCAGAATGTGAAATTAATGACAAATGTAATAGCTGAAATTACAGCAGGAGAAGATTACTGTATAAATTCTTACAACTATCTATTGGCGCAAATTATTTGTAATCCATCTCAGCCAAAATGTTATTTAACAAATTGTGATCAATGCCCTGGTATAGAATCTCTTAAGGGACAATTATACCAATTGTTTCAGAGAAATCGTATAGAATATGTCACTTAAACAATGGATCACGGTGGATAGAACAAATCTTGAAACTATTATAAAGTCCGTTGATGATTTCATCGATTATTTATTAGAAAAAGTTCAAATTTTACTGCGTCACTCGTTTATAGCTAAACAACAAAGTTTATTTTTGAAGAATTCCAAAGAAAATTTAAAAGATGGGGAATTTTTAACAATTCTAGATTATTCTGAAAATTATTCCTTCATTTAATAAGATGAAGTTCAGGGATTTCATTGGAACAACGTGCAGGCCACTATACATCCATTTGTAGCATATTATAAATCTGGAGAAGATTTAAAAAATATAAATTTTGTTATTATATCCGAATCATTAAACCATAATACCAGTGCAGTCCACCTTTACCAAAAAAAATTTATTAATTTCTTAACAGCCAAATTTAATTCTAAACCAGAAAAAATAATATATTTTTCAGATGGAGCCGCGTCTCAATACAAGAATCGCAAAAATTTTCTGAACATATGTCTTCATAAATACGATTTTAATATTCCTGCCGAATGGCATTTCTTTGCCACTGCTCACGGCAAAAATGCATGTGACGGTATCGGGGGAACTGTCAAAAGATTAGTTGCCAGAGCTAGTCTTCAAAAACCAAATAAAAATCAAATCCTAACCCCATTAGAATTATATAATTATGCTAAAGAAAATATTAATGGAATTCAATTTGAATATATATCCAATCAAGAATATATCGAAGGGGAATTAGCCCTTCGCAAAAGATTTAATTCTGCGCCGCCCATACATGGGACCTTAAAAATTCACGGGGTTATTCCCATTGATCAAAATAGACTAAAAACCAAAATATATTCAAATTCTAAAAAATATAATATAAAACAAGTTTCGTTTTTAAATGAAAAAATTATATTTAAAAATATTAATGGATATGTAACATGTGTATATGATGATAAATGGTGGTTAGGATATATAATCGATAAATATGATACAAATGAAGAAGTAAAAATCCGATTTTTACACCCTTGTGGACCTTCAGCCTCATTTAAATTTCCCCTGAATGATATTTTAGTGTTACCTAAATCTCATATTCTTTCACTGGTCAATCCTTCTACTCCCACCGGTCGAACATATATATTATCTTCTGAAGAAATCTCACAAGCTAGCCAGGCTTTGTGTTCCTTTAGATGAAGTAAGATTTAATTAATTTATAAACTATCTTAATTAGGCTAAATTTGTGAAGATTTTAAAAATTTATGATCTGAATTACAAATAAATATATATAATGGACATTGTAATCGATTTAGTATGATATATATACATTAAAATATTTTTAATCAATAAAAAAATGAATTTTAACATATTAAAACTATTATATATAGCGCCATCTATTTTTTCTAAAGTATAAAAATCGCAATAAATTTTAAAATAAATATTCAGCCATGCTAATTGTTGAAGAAATTATTAAAAAAATAGTAAACGGATAATATTTCTTAAAAAAATTAAAAATCGGAGATCATATACATTTCGAAATATTAATTTCAAGTTTTCAACTGACCATAAGATGACCCATATTTTATCAAAAATTAATTTTGATGTTTTTGCCATAATCATAAATTATTAACTTAGCTATTGATATTATATTCAATATTTGATCATATTTAGTTTAAAATTAAAAACTACTTATTTAACATCAGTAAAAAGCAAAAAAAGACGTTTTTTAGACCTTTAACCCCGAATATCTCCGCTAATATAGTTGCTAATCCGCTAAAATTTTGTTTCTAATCTAATGGGAACATATATAACCAGCCTACGATTTTTCATCAAAATCGAAAGGGGTCGGCCGAAAAGTGATTGATTTGACATGGAATGACCCTTAATGAGTATATGAATCTGCTTTTATTTTTTTAAAAAAAATGTATCTTGACCACGGACGCGTAGAGACGCGTAGTTTTTAATTTAAAAAAATAATTTTTAAATTTTTTTACTAAGTTATCATTATTTTTTAAATCATAAAAAACATTTTCTATATTCATTTAATGAGCTAATATGAATCTGCTTTTATTTTTTTAAAAAAAATGTATCTTGACCACGGACGCGTAGAGACGCGTAGTTTTTAATTTAAAAAAATAATTTTTAAATTTTTTTACTAAGTTATCATTTTTTTTTTAAATCATAAAAAACATTTTCTATATCCATTTAATGAGCTAAATATGAATCTGCTTTTATTTTTTAAAAAAAATGTATCTTGACCGGGGACGCGGAGTTTTTTGATGAAAAAAAAAATTTTTGAAAAATTTTACTAAGTTATCATTTTTTTTTAAATCATAAAAAACATTTTTTAACTCATCTTATAAAGCTAAATAAGATTTTTTATTAATATTATATAAATTAAACCTGTTTGACCGGGGACGCGTATTTTAGCCATGCCCGAATAACTACATTTTGTTGACTAGTTCTTATTCTTTGTAGGGAAATCCTTTTCCTTATTTTTTTAGAAAATTTTAAAGACAAATATACTATGATAAATGATCACATATTTACCAAAATAATATAACATCCATTGTCTGTTTCAACTAACAAATCTTCTTCATCTAATTCAGATTGTGTATCATGATCACTATCATTATATAAAATCTTTATCCTCATTAATTACATTGTCATAATAACCTCTAATAAAACGATATTACATCTTAAATAATTTTATATTCAATTTTAAATCATATGATCTTTAATATATGTACTACAAAATTAATATAAAATACTCAAAATAAGAAAGGATTGATTTAAAAGAATTACTAATATTCTGAAGTTTAATTGCAATGGCATAGCCAGGATGTTCTCATGTGGGGGGGGGGGTATATGAACACTCATTTCTTATTGAATTATGAATTACTTCTAATAAGAGCCCCCTAGAATGGTGGAGATTACATGGGGATCGTTTTCGTGTGTTGTCGAAAATAGCAACTGATATATTGTCCATTCATGGATCTTCGGCTTCATGTGAGGGGTTATTCTCAATAGGGGGCAAATATGATAATGAAGAATAGAATGTCTTTGAAGGAAGAAACCTTTAGAAAGATTTTATGCTTGTCAAATTCGGATCTAGCATAATTATATTTTGATGTTTATAAAATTAGATCATTGTACATTTTTTAGAAAATTTGAATATTAGATTGAAGAAATAATATAGATATTTTTTATATAAGCAATTTCTAATTCTAGAAATCGGATATTTTTGGCCAATTTGTTTGGATAATGTTATATGAAATCATTTGGGGTTTATTTCGTTCATTTTCTTTAAATTTTGATATGCTAATGACAATTAGTTTAGAGGGTCCTTAAAAGTGTCATTTCAACATCCACATCTGTTTATAATTTTTTTATTGCCAAAAATAATTTATTTTTTTATAAGGCTTTAGAAAAATTTTCGAATCGAATCGAATATTCGACCAATCGAATCGAATAATGATTTTATTATTCGTACGAATACGAATAGCACAATTATTCGATTCGTTTTTTAGGCCTAATTAGTACTGTTAAACGGCTCGATTTATGCCCGATTTATAAAAACGACGAACTCTATTATTATCTTCAGAAGAATAAAAAAATATATTACACAAGCCTGAAGATTTTGCTTCTAGATGGAGCACACATCTATTAGCCAAATCTCTAAGCTTAGAAAAAATATGCTCGAATCGAGACGCTTAGATATTAAGTCGAGAGATTCCGAACCCTAATTAATTCCGCGTCCCAATGATAAATACATTTTTTTGTAATTTTTTTTTATGGCTCAATAGAACCTTGATCGAATTGCATCCTGATTTGGAATTCTTGGGACTAATGCTCTCACACGTCAATTATGACCCTAGGCTGTGCGAAGTTTTGGATGATCAAACGCGTATCACGGTATGTCGTAGCCAATGATATATGGGACGATGATAAATCAACCACGATTCGGTCGACCCTTGCTAAGCAAAGAAAGATTAATTGTAACTAAGAAATAGCCAAAGTTTTAGCTTCCTAACATTTATATTTTTAGAGATATTAGAGTTCACAGTGGCAAAATGACTTATTTTTACCATTATCTGCCTTCATTCAATTAAGCATATCTCATAAACTACATAATTTGAATAACAAATTTAATACTTAGGCCTATTCAAAAATAATTCGTTCTAACATTTATCATTTCTATTTGTTGACCTGCCAATCGGACAGGTGATGTGTTTGTGTTTATAAAAATTCTAGCACAAATTTAAAAATTTTTGAAAAAATTTAAATTTTTATTTGCCACATTTTTTGAATCTCACGAAAAGTTTATTTTTTGAATCTCATAATAAATTATATTAAAAATTACACAAACCAGAGGTACATAAAAATATATTACATTTCTACAATAATTATTGTTAGCCAGCCTAATTATGTTAGAGGAGAATGCTTCTGATGAAATTATGCTTGATGTTGAAGATGAGAAAATTTCCTCACAAAAGAGAGCAATAATATGGGATCAATATCAAATCCTTTAAGATATTGAAAAGGCTGCTTGCAATCATTGCAAGAGTATTATAAAATGTAAAGGCAAAACAACATCTCCTCTTATTAATCATTATAATAGGTTTCATTCACACCTTAGTAAAAAAAATAATAAAATTGACATTTTTTTAAAGTCTACACCAAATTCTTCAAAAATAATTAATTTTAAGGATAATTTATTAAAATTATTTATAATTTTAAAAGGAATATTATAAGTGATCTTGATTGTTCTGTAAATCAATATGCTCCAATACTCTTAAATTGCACATGTATAATACATTTACAGAAAAAGAACAATTGGTAAAGGAAATAGTATCTAAAAATAAAAGTCAGATTAATTTTTCATCTGACATTTGGACTAGCCCAACACAGGTTCCTTTTTTAGGGCTAACAGCCAATTTTATTGATGATAATTTTAAAATAAATAACATAATTTTGGATGTCAGTCCAAAAAATGAAACACATTCAGGTGAAAATATATTTAAAGCCTTTGTCAAAATAATTAAAAATTATAATTTAGAGAATAAAATTTTTTATATAACTTTAGATAATGCAACTAATAATAAAACATTTATTGATACATTTTCTTTAAAATCCCTTAATAAAAATAGGGCACATCCGATGCTTTGCCCATGTAATTAATTTAATATCCAAAGAAATTTTAAAAATTTTAGACCCTTCAATTCTAAAACTAAGAAACATTATTAGAATGTTTCGTAATTCCCCTCAAAAATTAAATTTATTAAAAAATATATGTAGTTCCCTACATCCTCCCCTAAATTTTTTAAAACCAAAATTGGATTGTGAAATAAGGTGGAATAGCACCTATCAAATGATTGAAAGGGGCTTATTGTTAAAGCCTGTTATAACAATAGTTAATGAAGTAATAACTAACATTAAAATTCTTCAAGAAAAACAAATATCAGAGGTAAACTAAAATTTATAATTAGGTAATAATATAATACTTTGATAACATATAGGAAGAATGGGAGGATTTTATAAAAATTAAAGCTATACTATTGCCTTTGAAACTACAAGTATGGTATGTGGGGAGAATTATCCTACTTATAATTTGGTTATACCTTATTATATTTTAATTCTTGAACATCTAAAAAATGAAAAACCTGGTTTCCATAAATCCTTTAACAATAGTTTCAAAGTAGCATGTGATAAATTGTTGGGCTATTATAATTTAACTGCCGATGATGCAATAATAACCACAATATTAGATCCCAGGCTTAAAGTAGAATATTTTAAATCAATATCTGATGATATTGATATATCCAAGTTAATGGACAAATTTAAAGAGATTTACAATAGATATACAGGTATCAAATTTACCCCCATTTAAATATGATTTTATTTTATAAACTCATAATTATAACTGTCAAACAAATAAGAATAAAATTCAACAAAACAGGCTAGACATTGTTTTTAAACAAAATTCAACTGTGTGAAATAGATTTTTATCTGAGTAAACCAAGAGCAAAGAGTGATACTGACCCGTTAATGTGGTGGAAGGCAAATGCATATCGGATCCCCATACTCTCGAAAATGGCAAGGGATTATCTATCTATACAAGGAACATCAACTGTTTGTGAAAGGCTTTTCTCAGTTAGAACTAATTTATTGTCAAAAAACCGCATGTCATATAAGGAAGAAAATATAAGAAAAACTCTTTTCCTTAAAAATTGGCTTAAATTATAAATTAAATTAATAATATATATTTTAATTTTGTTTATAACTTGATTATATATTATTTATTATCAAATTATTGATTACATATTATTATAATTTTTTCTGTTTAAAATCAAATTTGTAATAAAAAAATTTGTCAATATATTTGAGTATATTTTATTAAAAAAATTAATTCGAATAATTCGAATGAATACAAATAGGAGATTTTGTTATTCGTACTAATTCAAATAGTAAATTATTCGATTCGTTTAAACGAATCGAATATGAATAATGCACTATTCGATTCGAATTCGTTTTTAAATAGGCCTAATACCAAAATTAGGTACAAAGATTATCTAGAAAATTTTATCTTCTGATTTTTGCAATTTCCGGCCATTTTATTTAATTTAAAACAATTTTTTTTTAAATAATACGACCTTGAATTTTTGTAAAAAATTTAGATAACATTACTAAACTCTTCCTACATATTTATAAAAAAAACTTCAGGCTGGGATGTCGCTAGCTTCTTTCTCAAAATCGATTAAATGATTAGAAAAGTATATAAATATTTCCCCGAAAAGGGGCTTCTTTGTATAAATTAATTATATATTAATAAATTTTTAATGATATTTCTAGAACTATTTTATATGAAATTTATTATAAATCCTTATAAATATATCAAATAGTTCAAGAAAAACCATTAAAAACTGATTATTATATAATTTTATGCAAAGACGCCCTCTTTTGGGAAAATATTTATACACTTTATTAATCATTTTTTATTGATTTTGAGAACAATGCTGGCCGTCTCCTAGATCGATTTCTTTTTATAAATATGAAGGAAGAGTTTAGTAATGTTTACTAAATCTTTTATAAAAATTGAAGGTCGTATTGTAAATATATATATAACTTTTATACCATATACATATCCTTTATATATTTTTTATACCATTAATTCACCCAAGCCACATTTAATTATATCCATATTACAGTCTTTTAATCCTAATCTCTAGGAAAGCCTGACTTTTAATATATTTATTTTTGAGAAGTTCGTTCTTAAAAATTATTTATCAAATTTTATAATTACTTTAAAAATATTAATAATTCCTATAAAAATCATTATTCTCAAAATTCAAATCTTATTAAACAAAAATCCTGGCCAATCATGATCCTTAAATTACAACAAAAAATATTGCTTTGCTTCATTTTTATTTATTTATCTTAAAAGTATAAAATTTGTACATAATTTTGATATTAAATTTGTTATTTACAATTATGTAGATTTTGAGATATGCTTAATTGAATGAAGGGAGATAATGGCAGAAAGAAATATCTAATTATTGTCAATTTGAACCCTAATATCTCCAAAAAATATAAATGTTTACGAAATTTTGGCTATTTCATTACACTGATCTTTCTTTGCTTACCAAATTTTAAAAAAATCGAAGGGGGTCGGCCGAATTACTCATTAGACATAAAGTGACACATATATAACCTAAAATTCAAATCGATACCAATCAGCTGGTGGCACGCCATTTGTGTTTCTCATACAAACAATTTATATAAAAATTATGGTAAAAAAAAAAGAGTATACGGGAAACCAAAATGGCGTATAAATAGCTGATTTGTAATCATCGACTTTCTCAGTTGCTTTTTTTTAAAAAAAAATATAAATATCCTTAAATATAAAAAAAAAAGAGGAAAAAATGTCAATCATAGTAGAAAACGTTTTGGTTAAAAAGAGGGGGAAAAAGGTTTCAATCAAATTATAATATAATAAATGAAAGGTTTCTATATTTGATATTTTGGTCTGTCTCAAATTCACGAGTTATCAAACGGGATTTTTGATATAACTCCACGGGTAATGTAGTTTAATAGCCTGGGCGAGCTAAAACATTCCGGATAATGTTAGCACTAAGATTGTTAATAACAACATTAGTAAAATCGGTCCCCGAGAATTAGATTATTCTATCTCCACTTTTTTTTTGTAATTTTATTTAAAAAAATTAAGTTTTTACCAGGCTACGATATGGTAAAAATCAAAATAAAAAAAATATAGGTGATTATTGTTTCATATTTTTATACCACCACCATCATCAATAATTGAGTAATTATATTATTATCTTTTTTTTTTGTAACGGCACTGAAATCAATTAAGTATATTATTTATTTATTTTTTGTAACGGTACTGAAATCAATAAACCCTCCAAAAAGATGGTTATTTTTGTGTAAAAAGAATCAAAACACAAGTTGCCCCCAAGTAGATTTTTTAAAAGATTTGATTTTAGTCTCTTATTTATTTAATGTTGAAAATTAAAATAGGTGGCTGGAGAAAGCAACGAAATTCAGCTGTTAAACGCGCTCAAAATATATTCTGACCGCCCTGGTTACATCCAGAAGGGTCTTCAGAGACTCTTTTCTTTCACCAGAGATTGCAAAGAGGTCGATCAAGAATTAGTTCAGGTTTTTATAGATTTTTATTTTTTAAAAAAGGAAAAATATTGTGAAAAGATTCGGAAAGAATAAAAGAGACGTAATAAAGTAAGAAAAAGAATGAAATTGATTAGAATAGAAATGAGGAATTTTATAATATTTTATTTTATTATATTATTTTATTTTTTTTTAAATTTAATTTTTAGATTATAATAGATCACCTAAATCTCAATCCTGTTCACCTGGGCATCAATCTGGCAGGCACGGCTTGCCTCTATAACCTGATCAAATCGCCGAACGTAGAAAAATGCGTATCGCTCAGCTTGGCCAAAAGGGTAGTCGAAACGTCTCTCAAGGCTATGCAAACGTTCGCCGGAAATCAGCAGATCCAGAAGAACGTTATCCTTTTGCTTTGCAATGATTGGTATATAATATATTTCGAACTCCTGTATCCATAATTTTGTTACCTCTTACATTTGACTTTGGCGTGCCTAAGGCCAGTTTTTAAAAAATTTTATTCAGGGGAAGGGGGTTCAAAAGTGTTTAATGAGGCCTATTTCCGCACTCAACTCCCCCCATCTTCCCAATGATTTGACTGTATTTTCACCATTATATATGATCACATCCTGATCGTTACCATGTATGCATCTATGGCTAACAACAATACTGATTACAAATCAGTAAAATTCAGATTGGATATTTATTTTTAAACTCAAACCATCCCTGCCACCCTGATAAATCAATCTAATTGTAATGATAAATACATTGTCATTTTTTAAAGTGAAGCCTTTATTGTATCTTATACGTGTTAGAGTAAAACTTTAAAAAAAATTCCTATTTACAAATATTAATTATTTTAAATCGAAATTTTTTTTTCTTTCAATTTATAAAAGATTGAAAATTATTAGAGCAAGCTTTTTTTAAAAATCTTTATTTCTTTCTTTGAGAAGATTCTATTCTATTTTATTTTCAACAAAAAAAAGGGTAATAAACAAGGTAACCTTCGACAAACTGAAATGCACTGGCCTAGTACTGGACTGTTTGTGCGCATACAAAGATAACCGAATGATTCAAATGTGCGCTGCCATAACTTCGCTAATCGCCGCTAAGATGACGGTCAGGCAAGTCAACCAACTGGGCTCGAAGAGCTGTTACATCAAAAGACTCCTGGAAATTATCATGGAGCGGGTTTGCTTTAAATATTAAAAAAAATTTAATGGAAAACATTTAAAAAAAAATTATCTCATTTAGGTAATGAATTTTCAAAACGATTCGATACTCAAACTTTGCCTAAGCGCTATCTGGAACCTCACAGATGAAAGCCCAAAGACTTGTAAAAATTTTATCAAAGAAAACGGTTAAGAAAATTATATATTTAATATATATTAAGATAGAATCAAAAATAAATCAGTTTCGGACAATTTTAGTAATTATTTTTAGTAAAAATGGGAAATCAGATTTTAACGGAGTCTTGCATCGTTTCATATCTGAAGTATATCCTCGAATTTGCAAAATAAGTTTGATAAATAGTGGTTCGTAAGTTTGTGAATGATACGATACACAAATTTAAAATAATAATATATTTTTCTTTCAAAATTTTGAGATAATTAATCTAATTTCCCAAATATTTTATTTTAGGTCTTCGCGTGTATTACGATGCCTTTCAGTCCTTCGCCGACGACCCATCTATCCTCACCAAATTCCTAGGTTCTCTCAGCAACGTGGCCGAAGTGGCTTCCCTTAAAATTTCGTTCCTCTCCAAACCCGATTTCTTTAACCACCTGCTTAAGTTAACGGGCTCGGAACATGTGGCAGTCAGTTACTTCAGCTGTGGCATATGCGCCCATTTGCTCACCGCTATCGTGACCGCTAGACCGAAGAAAAAGCCCGCGAAATTAATGAAATCCTCTTCTAAACCAGAAGAATCGAAACGGGGTTTATTTGACGAAGGCGCAGAAGTTCTTAAGGGTTCCGCGAGCGGAGGAAACTCTCAGGAGGACGATGGGATGGAGGAGTACGGGAATGGGTTGGGAGAAGGACCGAGTCTGGACGCGGACTACCAGGACGGTAATGGATGGCCGGATCAAAACGTTATCAACGAGGTATTATTAATTGATACAATTTCTTTTGATCTCTACTTGAAATTCCTTACATTTTCAATATAAGGGTCTCTGCAGAGTCGTGCTATCCTGGTCTGAACCCGATACGGAAATGGTTTCTTACCGCTCATTCCGGCCATTTTTTCATATCTTATCACGTCCTATCGTCGCTCAATACGGTGCCCACTTATGGGCGCTCTGGGCCCTGAGACACGTTTGTTCCAAAAATGGTAAAAATTTATTTTTCATATATGAATTTCTTTACGTCATATTCCTTATTATTTTTATATCTTTATGTATATATATATATATATATATATATATATGACACTTATATTTATCATTCAAGTCGAGAGATATAGAATTCTTTTAGACAACGAAAATGGGCAAACTTTTTTGAGTCGCTATCGACGAAAACTCGAAAGTATCAACCAATCACCGAGTTTCGATGAAGGTTCTAGTCATAAGGTCGAATCGATAACATTATCACCTGATATTGTCGCCACGTTAAATTCCGTATTGAACGAATTGACCGAAATTATTTTGGATTGAAAATATTATAAATTACTTATCAATTTTTTGCCCGAAAAAATAAATGTATATATAAAGTTATTATCGCGACCTGCATTTTTCAAACAATTTTGGACCGGGACATCTCCATGCTATTTAGGAATATTATTTTATAACAAATTTACTCGTAAGAATATAGTTGAACTTCTAAAAATAATAATTAAGACTCGACATTCGCTATAATAATTTCGCTATATCTGTCTTTCTAACAATTCCGCTATTTATATATATTTGTTTTAAAAAAAAACGCGCATATTCAATTTCTTTTTTTTTATCCTCTAGGAATGAATTGTTTTTTTTTTATTAAATGGAAAAAATATATATTATACCTGGAATATTTATAAATTTTATTATTTATTTATCTTTCTCTTGGTAAAAAAAAAATATAGTTTTTATTTTTACAAACTTTTAGGCCTGTATTAGAATGTATCAATAAAAATTATTTTTGATTATTTTATCGTTATTACTGAAATAAAGAATGCACTACACCACATTATACAGACGATGGAGTCAGTAGTCATTGCCATTGACAGTGATAGACATTGAAAGGCATTTCGTTTAAATACCTTGCAGCCTTCGTCTAGGTGCCTTTCTATGGCGGACCTCAATATATGTACTATTTTTAATAAATGAATCTTCGGTCTTGATTAGTTATTGTCATTGAATATTATACTTATTTTACGGAGAGTATTTTGTTAAATAATATACGGTTATTATTTGAGAAAAAATGATAATACCTTTAAAAGTCACGTTAGAGTTTGAACTTTTTTTTTTGGAGAATCATTATTTCAGGATTTCACAAACTTCCTATAATTAAATTCGTTATAGTTTTTTTTTATTTGAAGATTGATAAAATTTTGCCCAAAATTCTGAATCATTCTGTGAAAATATATTAAAAAATTCATTTAAAAAAGCAAAGAAAATAATTATTCAGATTAAGTAAATGCAGTAGAGTACAAGTATGACGTTATCCTACTTTTACCATTTAGAAGAAATCTTGTATATAGGTTAAAAATTTCTGCCCGCATTTAAAGTTCCTGTTAATTCTAGGAACTGTAAATTGGCTGTTTACTTTATAATAGTTATAATGAAAAAGGCAAATGATCAGGTTTAACGAAGGTTTTGGTGATAGCTTCTTATCTTGGAAATAAATGGTGTTACTTCATTTTTTTACGGGGAACTCATTAAAAATTAGAAATAAATTATTTCTTATAAACTTTGCCAGAGATTCTTGCTCCCCCTCTCCTCCATCTAACGATTTGATTGGGATTACAATAATAATCACTTTAAATATGAAGCTTATTGATGAATTCACTCTTATAGATTAAGTATCTTGCCTCTTGATCAAGATTCGTTGGCAAGTGAAATTAATGAATTAGATCTAATGATGGATCGACCTCATTTTTGCAACCAAGTAAAATAATGATTTTATTTTACGACTATAAAGGTCATCGGGGATTTTTTTCAACTAAGATTACTGGCCAGTCCGCCCCTGTTTGACCCTCTAGCTTATGCTACCCTACTTTCTTTGTGGCAAATAATTTTAATAATTCATTGACTTTATTATCAAAAATTAGAATTTATAACCAAGGTCATATAAAATCAATTAAAATAAAATAGAATATGTATAAACTATTACGCCATCTACTGTATGTTAATTTATAAAAATTTAAAATTAATAAATTGTTTTTCTGGAAAAGATAATTAACCAATTATATTTAATTTTCTAATAGACACTAAATCTTTAATCCTGAAATATATTCTGATTATTTGTACTCTAAAAAAAATTATTTGAGCTATTGAATCATAATTTAACATAATAAAGTAAATTAAAGAAAAAAATGTATATGCTCTAATTCAACGTTAATTAAATTATTTTCCACACCACTTTAGCTGTTTTCAATTTTCATCAGCTATCTCATTCATAACAAGATTTATTATGCAATTTTTTATTTTCTCTTAAAACTATATATATTTATTATAAACATAAAAGTATTTGGGATAGACTGAGTAATCTTTATTTTAACTAATTTTAAATGTTTTATTTTTATGTCAAAATTAATATGAATAGGAAAGAGACTTCATTTTTTTTAAATATTTTATTTTTAAAAATATTGCATTGTATATATTTAAATAAATATATTAAATTATTTACATGAGGCTATTGATTTCAATAATAACATCAAAATACCTATTTAATTTCTATTGGGTCCCCATTTTTGGAACCAATGAAAATAAAGAAATGATTTTATTTTTCTACTATTAAGGGCTTAATCTTTTTAATCTACTTTTTATTAAATTTTGTTGAATGTATAAATATACCAATTTTTTAAAAAAATTCTTTTTTTTTCCTTCCTAAAGGCCTCCAAATTTTTAAAATCTAAAGGTCACGTGGAACTACTGCCAAGTCCGCCCCTGTTTGACCCCCTGTCTATAACTCTACCTTTTTTTGGCAAATAATTTTAATAATTCATCGACTTTATTATTTAAAAAACGAATTTATAACCAAGGTCATATAAAAAACAAGTAAAATAGAATTTCTATGTTTAAATTATTATGCCATCTGTTGTATATTAATTTATAATATATTAAAAATATAAAACTTTTTTTTTTCTGGAAAAGATAATTTAAACCTATTATATTTAATTTTCTAATATGCATTAAATCTTTAATCCTGAAATATATTCTGATTAATTGTACTCTAAAAATATTGAGCTATTGAATCATAATTTAACATAATAATGTAAATTAATGCACTTAATCAATGTTCATCAAATGAGTTGCTAATTTATTTGTTCAAAAGTTAATAATGAATTAACAACATTTTTAAAGCTAAAATTCCTAACATTCTAGAACCTACAAACCTCTCTCTACAAGATGGCCTCAGACCTGACGGTCTAACCTGCATCCCTTGGTCCAATGGGAAATCCCTAATCTGGGACGCTACCTGTGTCTCTTCCTTTCCCTCATCAATTAATTCAAATCCTCTTACTAATGGCGAAAATAAAAAAATCAATAAATACTCAATATTAAATAATTTTATTTTTCAACCCATAGTCATCTCAACTAATGGTAATTTCTCCCAATCAACATATTCTTTTTTAAAAATTTTAGCACGTAAAATTTTTAACATAACAAACGAAAAACGCGAGTCAACCTTCCTAAAACAAAAAATACAATTAGAAATTTTTAAACATAATTATACATGTTTTTTAGGTACTTTTTTACTATAAGCTCTTTTTAGAGCCATCGATATTTTAAAATTTACACTCATTTTTAATATATGACTTGTTATATTAGATATATTTTATTATTGTAATTTAAAAATTAATAAATTTTTAAATCTTAAAAATAAGAAATAATTAAATTAAAAATTAAATTTTTACCATTTCAAAACCTGTTAAAAATAAGAAATAATTAAATTAAAAATTAAATTTTTACCATTTCAAAACCTGTTAAAAATAAGAAATAATTAAATTAAAAATTAAATTTTTACCATTTCAAAACCTGTCAATCTCCATTTTGAACGAGTTGGACTAGTTGGACGAAAAATACGATGAAGTGTCTTACGATCAAAGGCATCCCCCCCCCTCCATTTTTTTTTACCATAATCATTTATGATTTTATGGGAGATTCATTCCTCGTGCAGTCATAGATTTATATCTTTAATTTACTTTAAATAATTTTAATATACGAATAAATATTCGTTAAAAATATCTAACACAAATGTTAGGATACCAACTGAAATGCTTTTCCTACTTAACCAATTCAAAAAAAAAAAAAACCCTTAAATAATAAAAAAAAATTTGGAAAAATATTTTTACCAAGTGCGTTCATTGAGTTTGCAGTTTTTTTTTAGAATTAAAATGGAATTAATTTTTAAAAAAATAGCATCAAATTAATTGGAAAATAAACCCAACTTTTAGTATGATTGTTATCTGCATCACGTGTCGTTTTTTTTAATTTTAAATCATTTATTGAGCGCATTTTTTAAAATTTAAAAAAATCTGATCTTATTGTAAATGTATTTTAGCATGTTTTTAAAATACATATCTTTTTATTCAGATACTTGTATCTTTTAAACAGTTTATGGTTTTATACACATGCTGAAATACATATCCAGGTTCTTCAATATTTTAATGGAGTTTGGCCATTACCCTAGTTTTTATATGTTGGATTTGGAGATTTAATTATGAGTTTATTAAAATGTACTGTCGTTTACCACTTTAATTAGATCTGAAAACTAATAAAATTGACAGGGCTGTTTGAAAGATTTTAAGGCACAAATATATATGAAAAAAGAAAAACCAATTTTCTGTAAATCACGTCCCGTACTATACGCATTAAAAGAATAAGTCGAAGAAGAATTAGACAGATTGCTAAAAATAGGAGTAATAGAAAAAATTAATCATTTACTTTCTGCATCACCCATAGTAATTATTCAAAAGAAAGATAATACATAACGAATTGGCGGGGATTTGAAAAGAACTATAAATCATAATATTAATATTGATAAATACCCAATACCAAGAATCCAAGATTTATTAGCCAGTTTGGGGTAGAGGAATTTTCGATATTGGATCTCTCAGATGCCTATTTTCAAATTATAGTGGGGGAAGGAGTCTAAAAAATATCTTGGCATAGAGAATTATTTAAATATACAAGACTACCTTTTGGTATATCGTCTTCTCCAACAATATCTCAACGAGCCATCATTAAATTATTAAAAGGTTTTGAAGGAGTAGCTTGTTATTTAGATGATATTATAATAGCTGGGAAAAATAGAGAGAAGACGCAAATTAATAAAAAGTCAAGATAAAAAGAAGAAACATTAAATCAAATATGGAGAACAAACACCTTTAAATGCGAATGAAATTGAAAGAAAAACAATACAAGATGATGTACTCTCTAAAGTATACAGGTGGCCAATAAACTATGATACATGTTATAGCCAAAGAAGAGTGCAACAAACATGGGTCGAAAAATGAAGAGAATGCCAGGAACAACACGATATGCCTCAAAAGGCATCAATTCAAAATTGGTCAAAACTACCAAAAACATAGCACCGAGTACATATTGATTATGTGGGACCATTTCAAAATCTGGTTGGTAGTGATAGATGCTAGCATTCGCTGGCCATAAAAGTTTCCATCGTTTGGATAGCGGGTTACAAATCAGCAGTAAAGAATTCAATGATTTTTGCGAAAAAACGGAATACAATTAGTGCTCGGAAGTTCATACCATCCTCAGACTAACGGCATGGTCGAGCGTTTAATTCGAACTTGTAAACAGAGCATGAATAAAAGAAACAAGGGGGATTTAGAAACCAATCTAGCTATTTTTCTCTACAATCTCTGAAATACACCAGGGGCAGAAAATGAATAAAGTCCCGCCGAAATACTACTAAAAATTAAACCTAGAGTACCATATAATCGACGGGGAACAAAAAGAA